TCCTTAGAGTCAAAATATGCGTCTACAGCTGCTTTGACCTCGTCGTTTGTCGAAAATCTTTGACCTCCCAAGTGCTTTTTTAGGTTAGGGAACAGAAAGAAGTCTGATGGTGCCAGATCAGGTGAATACGGCGGATGCGGTAACAGTTCAAAGCCACAGTTGTGAATTTCAGCCATTGACTGTACTGACGTGTGAACACGGGCGTTATCTTGATGAAACAGGACTTTTCTTCTGAGCATTCCTTGACGTTTTTCTTTTATTTCCTCTCGTAAACGACGTAGTAAGGTGCAGTAGTAATCAGAGTTTATAGTCTGACCCCTTTCAAGATAATCAATCATAATCACACCTTTCGAGTCCCAGAATACTGAAGCCATCACATTATTTGCCGACAAAATCGACTTAGCCTTTTTTAGGGGGTGATGAACCAGGTCTTCTCCACTGTTTGATTGTTGTTTTGTTTCCGGTGTACAGTAATGAACCCATGTTTCGTCCATAGTAACAAAATTATTCAAGAAATCATCTGCATCGGCTTCAAATAACTCCAAACAGTCGCGTGAAATAGTCAATCGTGTCCTTTTTTTGTTCAACTGAAAGCAGTCGCGGAACCCACCTCGCAGACACCTTGTGGAAACCCAACTCGTTGACAATGATGTTTTGAGTTCGTTCATAAGAGATGCCTATAATCTCGGCTATCTCTCTAATTTTTAATCTGCGGTCTCCCATTATTAAATCAAGTACTTTTTTAATATTTTCGTCAGTAGTTGACATCGAAGGCCTTCCAGAGCGGGGTTCATCTTTCACACTCTCTCTACCACGCTTAAATTCTGCTATCCATTTTTTGACGGATGAATATGACAGAGCACAATCGCTTAATGTACTGACCATGTCATCATGGATGGCTTTTGATGATAGCCCCTTCTTATGGAGGTACTTAATGACGGCACGCTGCTCGATTTGCTGCATTCGCGGAAATTATGTCCGATTACTTTGTTAATAAATTTATAAAATCACAACTAATTATCGCACACGTTTCGAACTTCACACAATGAACTAGTCTGAACTGAACTAAATAATGTGGGTAGATTTGATTTTTAGAATTGAATGGATCTGTGTTAGGCCGAGTACTTTTCAATCCACCCTCGTACGACTTAAGGACCTTCAAGAAAAGAGCTTACACCTCTCTAAAAGGCCAGCAACGCATCTGCAATTCCACGGTGTTGCGGTTGTTCCTCGTTTGCCCTCTTCTTTAAAAAAAAAACATAGCACGCACTACAATATATTGGGGTTGTTACTCCGCTATGTGGTGCTTTTAAATCGATATTAAAAGAAACTCGTTGATTTTTCGAAAACTGATTAATTTTTAGAGATGGGTCGAATATGAATTTAACCGAATACGAATATTCGGCCGAATGTTTGGTAAAAATTTTATTGAACCGAATATTCGGCCGAACATTATTCGGCAGGATCACCTCGGTACCTCACCAATTTATGTCGAAACTTGTTACCATAAAGCGCGCGAGATTAACGTTGGACCCTTCACCTCGCTCATTATCTAGTACTGAGCCAATTGTCGGTACATGCCTACGTTTAAACTATTTTTTGAGAAAAAAAGTATTTCGTTGTTTTACACTTAGTAAAAATTGATAATACCATAGCATAAAAATGAGTAGCAGGAGATCTACTATATGTACTTATGTGGCGGCGCTGTCGTCGCGCCACACGCGAAAACACATCGAAACCTAAATCGCACTATCAAAGTTCCGAATCAATAGCTCCGCACTATCACCCAGAGCGTTGGCTGCTCCCCGGGCAGAACACCTTGCCTGGCGGAAGATCTCCCCTTTTTCTTCCACCCATAAACTGGTGACTGACGGACGTGATATGAACACTCAACCAACAGCCTTCGGAAACTACAACTTCAAGTCATCGCATAGTCATTACCCTCAAGAACCCATACCATTCACTCCTGAGAATCGTCTTCCAGAGTCTTCATATCCTGAAAGTCATCTATCTAGCTTCACAAGGTTCATCGCAACACTAAAATAATAATGCTTCCTGTTCCTTCAAGCTACTCTCTGCGCTACAGTGTTCCGCACTGCTCCGAAGCCTTACTGCTCGCCTCTGCTTCACAGCACTCTCGCAGATTACTCGCCTTCTTGTCCTCACCGCAGACTACAAGGCAATCCTCTGGCACTTGTACATTCGTCGACAACGAGACTGCACAATCGACCTCCGGTCTGAGCTGGGGGGTGATGTGGCGGCGCTGTCGTCACGCCACAAGCGAAAACACATCGAAGCCTAAATCGCGCTATCAAAGTTCCGAATCAAAAACAGTATATATAGAATTGCTCCGCACTATCACTCGGAGTGTTGGCCGCTCCCCGAGCAGAACACCTTGCCTGGCGGGAGATCTCCCTTTTCCCTTCCACGGCCACACTTCTTTTAGAGAAACTGACGACCAAAGTAAAGTGAAATGTCCCAATGTAATGTAATTTTTCTTTGTTTGATTCCAAAAACATTTTATCAAGCTTTATATTTGCTACGATTGGAAATAAATCTACAGTGCCTCAAAAAGATAATGTTACACAAGTACATTTAAGCCATAAATCAAATATACATAGCATTACTCAGTTCTTACATTTCAATACTGTGAACACTTTGAGTACCACTTTAACGAATGTTTAGTGATTTAGCCGAATATTCGGCCGAATACGAATATTTGGTAAACCTGCCGAATACCGAATATAAAACGAATGTTCGGCCCATCTCAACTATCTGCCCAGAACAACTATTATACACGTACACTACTATACATGTATCTTACGTGGCCCCAGTGGCCACTTCATTGTTCTATTTCCACAATAATATTTTTTTATTCATTCATTCATTATAACCTATTTAAATCCACTGCTAAACACGAGCTTCTACACAGATTGCCTCATAACGAGAATATTTGGCATAGAAACCACGCTTGACAGGTGGGTTGGAAATAACATTTTTTTATTGTAGATTGATTAATTTAAAAAAAATACTTAAAACGATGAGACATAATATGTTCGTATGATAATAAAAACCTCACGATATTTTTGCGTATTATGGCACGTTTAGATTATCGGTCGAACAACATCATCGTCATCAGCACCAATATGCATAATATCAAAAATACTCTATTACTTATTATTAATAATTTTATGCTTGCGGTTGTTGTCACCTAGCGAAATTTTACCTTCAATATGACTTTATTAAGTGACATACGAACTTTCATTGTGCAATCCAGTAAAACGTAGTGATTATATACTATGTCTATACTTTGTTTTATTTACATTTGAATAAATACATACATACATAAACACTCACGCCTGTCACCCAGAGGGGTAGGCAGAGACTACGGACTTCCATTTGGCACGATCCTGACATGATGGGGATGAGTCGCTCGCGTCCGTAGGCTTCGACCACCTAACCTTAGGCCCACCCTACACGTGTCCCCCGGGTGGTGCTAAACGAGCGACAAAGCCGAAAAAATAGACTCGGCTCCTCGCCTTATGGTAGCGGCGTAAAATCTACCACCAACCATTGTTCGCACCATGACTCAGGAAATATTTGAATAAATTCAATACAAAACCGACTTTCGGGTTCAACAATAATTCTCTATCTAAGATTTCGGCTTATCTGCCGGTCTACTCCCGACAGAATCGAGTTCTGAATCAATCGAATTTTATTTCGATTCGAACACTCGAAACCGCAGCTAGCGCGCAATCGAGTGGTGGTTCAAATTGGACTTATCAGAATTAGTTTTCAGATGTCCGCCGCTAGATGGTGTTTGTAAAATCATACGACAAGAATGCACTTTCTTTATTTGTTTATCCTATTTATGAAATAAAATATTATAGAAGTAAATACTTATCCACTTTCTTAAAATTATCTCCGGATAATGAAATATCCGGATATGCCTAACGGCGCTGACATCTCGATTCGAATTGGATCGGCAATAAAAGAGAGTACGCTATTAAAATCAATTTCGAAAAAACGTTAAAAATAGAATCTAATTCTAAAACAATTTCGGCAGTGGACACTTCGATGTTATCGTAAGGCAAAACCGGTCGGTTTTAACCAACTTGAAAAAAGAAGGTTCTCAATGAGGGCATCCACGACCTTTTCTTCCACCAGGGCAGCGTCACTATACAATGAGGTGAAATATTTGAGGGATTTCATTGTGGGGAGACAATTTTTTAGGAAAACGTAACGGTTAATGTTTCTTTGTTAGATTAGGAATAAACCACTCTATATATAAATAAAAGTTAAAAAATTAAATAAATAAATTTCTTTTTTTGTTATACGAACGCAGATATCGTAACAAGATCAAGATCGTGCCAAATGAGTCTGTAGTCTCTGTTTACCCCTCTGGATGACAGGCGTGAGTGTTTATGTATGTTTTGTATTATGACGATGGTCTCATTTTTTTTAATATTGAATTCGGTTGTACAATTTTTTAATTTTACCACTTGTTTATTACAACTTTTTAGAAGACTCTTTAATTGTACTGACATTAATTAGTTCATTTATAAGAGTGTTAAAAAATTAAGCTTTAAATAAAAAGTAGAAGCCGACAATAGTATATATACTAATACTAAGCTATTATGTAGAAATTATTTCACACTTTTTAGTTCATAGAAGTCAGCCTCGACTATTTTATTAAAAGTATAATTTTACACTGAATACATTGAAATATAAGTAACAAAACCATGATTATCATTGTTTTGTACTCCTTTTTGGTTCAAGGCCTTGTTGCCAATGCCACAAGAAATTAATAAAAATATACTATCACTTTTTATTAATTGTGTCTTTATACCTCCAAGGTGTTTAGCCAAAAAATAATTTAATATGTTAACTAATTCCTTCCTAATATTTTGATGCGAAACATTGCTATGTTCTTCGGAGATTTTTCAGAGCCTCCATCTCTCCTTGCGCCGCAGGTCTGAAAAAAACGAGTACTCGCAGCATCAACCTTCCAGAAACCAGCAGCGATGGCAGGGCGGCAACTGTTCCATTTCGTTGTGAGTAGGCCGTAGTAACATCCACGGTGGCTTAGGAATTGCTGCAGGTGCATTGCCAGCCTTTTTATAGATTTCAAAAATTAATAAAGCGTGAAAATTGTAGGTTCTTTTCTTGAAGGTCCCTAATGGATGCCACACACGGTCAGTTCCAACCGATCAGTTGAAAATAAACTGTAGATATTTTATACAATATTGAATCTTCGATATATCGATTATTATAAATATATCAATATCAGAGTTTTATATATATATAAGTTTATTTATCGATGTATCGAAAATTCAATATTTGAAAAAATATCAACAGTTTTACTTTGAACTGATCAGTTGTAATGATCAGTTGAACTGACCGTATGCGGCGACCATAAGTCATATTGTGTGCTACTATACTAAAATTAACCTGTGCATTGTCGCCGTTGTTAAAACTCTTATAAGAACTGCATATTACGTATATTTTTATGTTACATACTTAATATATTTATTCATTAAGTGTGTGATCCTGTGATATGTCAATTATTGGAAATGAAAAAGCAATTACAGGACAGAAATTTAATCTCAAAATATATAAACGTATATCTCATTTTGTATGTATTTACAACTTATATGTCGATATAGAAACATGATTACATCGAAAAAGAAATAAAATTTTGAATTTGAAATTATAAAACATATTATTCACTCAAATATAGAATAAATAAACATTCTATGGCACATTGGCGATTTCGAAAACTCCATTAAATGGAAAAAGTAAAAAGTACCCAAAACATAACGTGTATATTATTTTATGTGCTGAAAATTGGCAGATTTGTGAAATTCATACAAAGATTGTCATAGATAAATATATACTTATATGAAAGATTTTAGTATTTTATTCATATATGTCAAAATTATTTTTTTCTGTGAAAACGTTGCAAAATTAGTTTTTAACGTCCGTTTGAAGAACAATAATTACACCTTACAATTATTATTTATTATGTAATGTAAATTATTATACCGAGATTTTATGACAAGACAAAAATTGCATTTATTGAAGACATTAGTTCTAATTAACTGAACTTAACATATATTGTACTTAATGTGTACGATGTAACATAGATGAATTCATTTACTTATTAAATTATTGTCGGTGATTACGAAGATATTTTGAACAACACTAAACTATGCAATCGTTAGCATAAAACAACGAGGAAAATAAATAACAATTGGCATAATGATTTCTAATATTTACGCAAACACTAAACATTGAAAGAAACTAATTTTACGGATTTTAAAATTAAAATTAGTTCCATTTAACAATTGGCAAATAAATATTATTCGAGTAAATAAGAAAAAGGTACCGATTTATAATAAATTATATGCTTTGGAGTTACAAGTTCAATCGATTCAAAAAGGATCTACTCGGCACTGAATGTAAAATTATAATACGTAGAATGACAAAAATAAAATGAAAACTATTAAAAAAATCCAGTATTACAATGGCTTACTTTCTAAAGAGTACATGAATTTTGATCATACAGCAAAGAAAATCATCGACGATCAGGGCTTCCACTCCACTTTGACACCATAGGAATGAGGTGAAATATTTGATAAATTTCATATCAAAGTATTATAAAAGTGTAGTGATTAATGTTTCTTTCAGAAAAATGATTTTTTTATATTAAATAGATTAGAAATAGATAAACTAAAGCACAAGATAGTCCTTAAAGTAGAAGAATAAAAAAGTTAAAAAATGTATACAAAATTAAAGAATACAGCACTGAATCATTGTTTTGTGTACATGCATACACTAAAAATTAAAAAACTTTCAGTTAAAACGCAAATAAGATGTTCCAAAATGTATGGAGCCTAGGCCAGGTCCTTGTAAACTATACTCAAAAATAGGGAAATACATTTAAAATGGTTCTCAACTGTCCAATTATTTTATGATGGCTTTATTTGCTGGTAAAGCACTGGAAATTACGCTTGAAATTGCAACACACAATAAATATTCGTCATGGCGGTAAGCTGTCATTTTATTGATTAGTGACGTTTGACATATTTATTTCAAGTATTTTGACACTGTTGTGACAACTGACAGTTCTCTTTCTATGATCATTCGTCGCTTTATGGTTTACTGTCATTGTCTATAAACACAGAGTAACTAAATTGGTGAGAAGCCATGTTGAAAGTCGATAAAAATAATTGATAAACATTAATTGTTTACCACGACAAGATACATTTAGATGAATTATCTGTACTTTTCCCGAATTCTACAGATTTTCTCCTTTTTTTGAGGTAGTGTAAACAGACCTGGCCCATTTTGAAATATCTGCTTTTCAATACTATGATGACACTATGTGACCATCTGCGTAACAAATAAGTTCACCTTAGTTCCAACCAGCGACATCTGGTGAGCGTAAGATTGTTATCAGCCCTCATTGTTTTGTTATTGTATAGATACTTACTGACGCATCGTTAACAGCTATATATTATAGCTGTGCCATATTAAAAACATAATAATTAGTACCAAAACCTGTTAGATATAAACAAATTTATATCAATATATAAACTTTCTTACCTCTATCTTATTTAACTAAGTAAAATTTTAACAGATATATAAATGAAAATGCTGTTGGTGTCTTCACAATTTAACATGTATATTATATTTATATTTAATACGTACTTAATTTACAGCCACTCTTGCGACTTAAAACATATACTTATGTCATTCGCCTATCGTGCTCTAAAGCCATCCATTCATGCTAAGTCACATCGTTGTATCACTAAGATCCCACCCAAATCCATATAATATTTAATTTAATACATTTAAATCAAGATATGACAAAGGACATTTTGCATAAATATAATAGCATAAGCAGTGAACGCGAATAACAATTCTCGTTCACTGGGTATAAAATCTTTCATAACATTGTTCTCACAAATATATATATATATATATATAGGTAGGTAACTACCATAAAATTGCGTGGAATCCCTTTGGTGACCCTGCATTCATTCGAGTGATTTCTTATGGAAATATTCCGACTTTAACATATATATTTCAAGCTTTCTATTGGAATGTGTGTCCGAAGATGTGAATATGGCCCTTGGTGCTGGTGTGTAAATGCTTTTGTAGTTATTCAACTTCCACAACAGTTCCAACAAAAACATAGAAATCACTCATCATTCAAACAAATATCAAACTTATTACACTAATTTTACGTCATCGAATGCGGTAAGTAAGTCATTGGTGTCCTGCATCACTTCGGTTTCGCCCCAAAAGTCGGTTGACGACAGCGACATATTTGAGTCCAAAAGCATGTCTGTCTGTTGAAGCGGGAAACTGGGGCTCGCTAGCATTTTATTGTTCAAATAGGGGTCGTAACCTTGCATGATGCAGACCGGTGATAATAGTCTGCTTTTGGGGCTAAAATCTTGACTAAATTTACCTATGGGCGATAGCGATTCGGGCGTGGAATAAGGACTTAGCATATGATCCCTCTGAGCCGGGCTCATAGCCGGACTATTGTAGCTGGAAGTGTTTGGGCTTGAAGGTAACGAATACATTGGGGAACTTATATTGAGGGTAAGTGGGGACATAGGGTTACTATTAGCGTTACATATTGTAATGCCGTTGGGTAACGGTGTGTTGGAGCGCATTTGTTTATTTGGTGTTGATTGTATAATATTTATTACCGGAATAGGAATACTGTTCCTATTAATGGCACCAAGGGGAGGTAGTTTCTGTCCGTTCATAACAACCTGTTGATAGTTTTGGGGATTTTTGGGACTGATCTGCCGTGGCATTTGCTGCGGTAAGTCCTGTAACACACAAAAGAAACATGTAAGTAAAGATAAATATTGAAAATATAAATTAAATATAGTTAATTATAAAACAATATTGCGTTAAATCGATTTTAAATCCACAGTATTTCGAGTCGATGCTTCGAGTGATTTTCAGCACCCATGGATAGCGGCAGACTCACGTGTTGAAGGTTAAACTTCTTAAATAATTTAGGCTACCTTCAGCTCAGCAATAATTATTTGATTTTGAATTACTCATGAACAGTTTATAGTACCTTGAAATTTTAGAGGTATATCAATCACCTTTAAAAAGAAATCGGTGTTCTTTTGCGTGGATTTGTTGTCAACTTAACGTAATGGTTGGGGCTAATCATCTTCCCGGATTGTAGACTTCTCGGAGCGTCGGTATTTTATATTAGATTAATATTTATAATCATGTAAATATCTTTTACGGCGATGAGTGGACAACTTAAAACTAAAATAAACAGGTTACCAGGGTTAACTATGTATGAAAACAATCAAGGATGTTGCAAAGCACTTGTTGCTTGGTTTAAAAAAAGTTTTACCTAAATTTTTTACGCGAGGTGAACAGTAAAATAATTTTAATACTTCAAGTAAACACATGCACGTTTTTTTTTCAAATACTATGAAAAGGATGTGTGGTATTGGTATTAGCTCTAACCTTGACTTTGAATTTTAAATCACAATGAGAATGACCAAAGGCATTCACACATTAAACACAAGTCGCTTGACGCTGTATTGCAAAATAAAACCATTTGTTTTTTGATGTATAATGTATTTTGTGTAAAATTGCCAGTATCCTACTGTATTGATGATACCATAGAATACTATAATACGTACATAATAGAACGGGGAACTGGGCGGAGCCCGCGTAGCCCCTAAAATGTCACTTCACACGCACACACAATACGTCAATTCACACGTAGAAATGTAACACGAGATGTGTTTTGACGTTACAATCGTTTCCAAATTTCGCATGCAAATTATTTAAAAAATGCCAAATTGCACACTATTTACAAATAAATATGTATTAAAATTTAAACGATTTTATTAATGATGGTCTTGAACATTAATCAAAAGTCTAAAATTTATTTCGCCTGTCAACACAGCGAATCGGGTTAGGAATCGGCCAAACCTCGTACAAAGTAAAGTTGAAAGCCATTCTATTGTGCATAGTAAGTATTCTATGGATGATACCATAATTAACACATCTTTTATATTATCACAAGGACTGTGCTGGCTGTGGCTTGACTCCAAAAGTGTAAATGCAAATAAATATTAATATTTACTATTATTATTATCAAACAATACATAGTTTTATTAATCTATACATATAAATAAAATTTAAAGTGTCTTTCCGTAATATAGATTCACCATCTAGGGCTACATGACCATTCACCACCAGGTGGTATTGTTGTCAAGCACTGGCTTTTAATAAGTTTAAAATAATATATTATCTTCTATTATTAAGCTGAGGGTGTAGTTTGCATGCTACTAAGACCTAAATAACTACTTTAAATTTTTAGGTATTCTGTGAGAGCGGGTCCTTCCCCGGTCGAGCCGAGCCATTCGTGCTACAACTATACTACTAATATAACTGCAGCATGGCTCTACTACGTAAAATAGTATATTTATATATATAAATATACATTAAATACAATACATTCAATACTAGTGCACTGCCTCGGCTTCGCCTATATAGGGGTCTCTCTGAAAACCCTCAAGTTTTTGTTTGGAAATATTAATTTTTTTAGGATAAATAATTTAAATAATGCCACATTAATAGTTCCTATATAGGCGAAGCCGGGGCAGTGCACTAGTATTTAATGTATTGTGTAGTAGAAAATATCTCTTGATATGAAATTCTTTTACGTTAGGCTTCATTGCGGGGTATGATATTTATTACTACGTTATAAGATATATGAAACCGAAGGGGGGTGTTTTCAATCATCAACCATTTTGTTTATTTTTGTAAGGCATTCTCAAGAAGTAGACAGCTATTCTATTATAGTTAATATGTTTCTGTAATGTTATGTTTTTAAAATTATTATAGTTTTACTTATATGCATGCAGTCTTCTTTTTGTTAGGTTTAAGGTCATTTCCCTTTAATTTCACGGTTGTTTGCTGGCGTGCTTGCCCTTAATTAATTCGTCGAGTTAAGGATCAAGTGCCCGCATTTATCTCCGCCTGCGGGATTTGGGTGGAATTTAAGTTCTATTATATGTGTGACAGAAAACAGTTAATATACGTACAGAGACAAGAAAGTCTGTTCTAAGAGTGGAAAATTTAACTTTATTCTATAATAATATCGGGAATTCTATCTTAAGATGTGAAAAATTAATAAGCTTCGCATAATAAAATAAAATTAAGCGTCTTTCTTATTTTGAAGAGCAATAATACAATGGACTTCACCAAAGCCAAGTACCTTTTCAAATTCAATTTATTATTCACTAATTATATCTATTAGAGTTGATTAATAAAAAAATATAAGTTTTTTTAGAGACCTTTCTCATAAACTAGAAATCACATTTAAAAAACAAACCATTTACGATATTATATATAGACAATGTTGATCAAATCAAAAAAGGGAGGTAGATTTTTTCATTTAAAAGTAAAACAAGGTACAAAAGAGTGACGCTCTACGTAATACGAATATATTAAATGGTGCATAATCTAGTACTCGTACGCATACTGCGTTATTTTTATTTCAATCTTCAAGGTTTTCAAATTATGCTAAAAATAAAACATATCTTAGGTACTATTTACCGGATTTGAGGTACACCACAGAATAAATAATAGGCTACACGTAAGCATAGACAATTACATTAATTAATGTTTTTATCAGTCTATTGTGGTAAAAGGGCCCGAATTTCGGAAGTACGAATTGAAATACGTTCTGGTTTTGACTTAAGAGCTCCCTGGAGTTCGATTCTAGTGTAATTTTTATAAGATATATATGTTTGTATGACATGTTGTGTTATACACTCGAGATGTCTCGAACAAAACGATGATATCGTCTTGAAATCAATTTCATCCGAGGCGTAATTACAGTATCTGTTTTATTAAATTTAACTAAGCAATGTTACAAACTTGATAGCAGAGACCAAATTGCACCCACTTCTATATATCTACTTGTATCATCAATCAATTTGTCAAATCTTTATTTTGAAACTAAATCTGTTATTAATTTATATAAGGTTTCTTTCTAAAAGTCCAGCATGTAAAAATAAGTTACAGACCAGTCTAATTGCTGGGCCTTCTGTCATTTTAGCGAGTTGGTTTGTGCTTATTAAGTTTATTAAGTTGACAGACTTCAAAATAAAAGAAGGAAGCTCTCAATTCAACTGTATATTTTTTAATTTCATTCAATAGGTTCCACCTCAAGATTTTTAAAAATTCTACCCTTAAGGGTGGGAAATAAGACGACCATTTTAATGTAATATTTTTAGTTGATTCAGTTGATACCTTGAGCTTGTGATTATCACTTAAGTATTCCACTAAAATGTTACTTCACACTAAATTATTAAACTTCTAAAAAACTAAAAATTAACTTCAAAATAGTTTTCTGTATCGAAAAATTGAATTCAGAAAAGCTATAAAATTATTTAAATAAAGAAATTAATAGTTACTTTGCAACCATCCGCTAAATTAAATTAAATGATGTGTCTTCCCTAGTTTGAAGAGCACCTCTCGCCCTCCCTTAATCGCGTGCACTAATCCCGTCACCACCAATCCCAGCACCACTACTTCTAACACCACTACAAACTAGAGAACACACATTTAACTTTTAATTTAGAGAAGAAACATTCAAAGACACATCATTTTATTTAATTTAGCGGATGGTTGCAAAATAACCATAAATTTCTTTATTATAATGGATTACCGCAAAGTAACGCCTGATTCTATCAATTATCATAAAATTTGTATTTTCTTTATTCTTTTTAGTTTTCTTTCGGTTTTCAATTCTTCATAATAATTCGCATACACTACATATTAGTAAACATAATTTTTAAAAAGTAAATTTAAATTATAGTACACATAGTAAAAATAAATAACATCAAACAGCTTTAGCGTCACAAAGTGAATAGAAAAATTAATCAAGGAATCTCTCGCAATCTCATCTCGGGTCCCCAATAATCTTGGCTGTTATAGAACATAACCCGCAGCGAAGTAATTGACGCTTCCGTTATGTTAGGACACTAGCGCTTCTGGGAGAGTCACTAATCAGACCGAGGGTACTCAACGAATTATATGGATACCACTATATGACGATGTGTCGTAGCCTAGGATAAAAAAATCGAGTAAATGTTCTATTGGAGATATTTGTTTGTTTATAACGATAATTGTTTCAATAGAAGGGTGACGAACAAACACAGTCTAATAATTTATGATAAGTGAAACCAAGGCGTAATATGTCCTCTATAAGTTATATAACGATAAATCACTTGATAAATAGTTTAAAGGATCTTCGGTTCTCTTTACCAACATTGCTGATGTTTAACATTATGGTGCTATTTTACGACAAAGTGTAAAAATATTTTATGTAAATATTTAACTACGAACTTAGTCGCGCACAAAATCTCTTTTATAATTAATACAAAACCATTGACTTATATATTATAAAACTCGCTTATTGTTTGTATTTAATGTCATTTACATAAATACCAACCTTCCTTTGAATTGATTTTCTGTCATTGTATAATCGCTTACAAGAATAAATCGGATTTAAAAAATCTGTCTGGCCGACTGGTTTATATATACCTAAGTACAACTAATACTTGATCGGCATGAGATTTGCAAATATTACATCATATTTTGTTACCGCTTTGCCTTCTTTGTTTGAAGATGTCTAATGGTTGGAGTAGCCAGTTACCATCAGAGGGGCTTCAGGTAACTTCAGATTTATAAAAAAGCGTCGACGTGTAATATATAGACAATCCCTCTCAGAAGGAAATTTGTTAAGGACTGATGATGACGATGATACAAAGTAGGCCGTAGAAGTTTTTTGACCCAAAAGGGGAGAGAAATGCCTCACACCTTATAGTTGTACTAACTTTCTCACTTTTAAACCCAGAGCCAAAGTTGGCATTGCTCTTTAGCGAGGGAGGTAGATAAGGGGGTGATACGAATACACGTGGTAGAGCCACGCTGCAGCTTTATTACTGGTATAGCTGTAGCACGAACGGGTCAGATCGACCGGGGCAGGACCACGCTAGAATACCAGCGTAAAATAGCAGCTTAACGTTACTGTATTTCGTATGATAAGTATAGAGAACCGGAGACCCTTTTTACTGGAAACGAGGCATTCCATCTTAGTCCTCACCGGTGACAACGCATCTGTATTTTGATTTGTAATCGAGGATACTAGATGTAGATGTCTATGGGCCACAGCAACCACTTAACATCAGAGGGGCTGTGTGCTTGTCACCTCACCTTTATCCTATTAAAAAAACAATCTGATTCGTAGGCAGAAAATGAATTGTTACAATTTAATGATATACTACAGATTTGTAAAATTTTCATACTAATGCATGATTTATTTTTAATAAAACGTGGTTTTATAAATAGCTAATATGTTTAAATCGTCTGTGTGTGTGCATATTTTGTATTAATGTTGAAATTTCTTTTTACAATAAACGATCCCATAAATTTCTAAGTTTTTAAAGTATTAATAGACAAGTAAGTAAATCGTTGGTCAAGCGCGCCAACAAAGTCTCTTAATCACTGTACATGTAAAAATAATCTTGCCAATACATTAGATTTATTGCTGTGTTACGTGCACAGATACTAATGTATTATACGTCAGTATGTCATGAGCTAAAGCTAATACCCAGAAAGAAAGAAAAGGAGAGGAAAGTGGATGAGGTTGGGGTTAAATGAAATCAACGTGCACATGTTCAACTATTTCCATATTTTCTCTTTTAATAATTTTTGATATATTTCTTTAAAAAAAAATTGATTAGATATCCACATATTATATCTTCCAAGAAAAATATTTTGTTCTAAATAAAGATCGCTTACTTAAACTATAAACATGAACAACATTGATAAATTTATGTGTCTACATGTATATTTCTTAAGTTTTTATAAACATCTTTTCAAATTTCTAACTACCAGTGGCCAATATTAGTAAATTTAGATCAATCTGATAGCTGCTAGAAAAACATTAAAAAAGTATTAAAATTTAAAACAAATTTCACTACAAATGTAACTGCTAGGTTGATTGACAGTGAAATGTTTCAAACAAATAGCTAGAACAAAAACTAACAGAATTTATTTAAAAAAAATCACAACAATATTTTGATACATTTGGCAGTGAAGTCACTGTAAACTACAATGATAACTTGTCACACCGTACTCAAACTTATAGTCCTAATAAAATTTAATAAAAAAACATACTGTGTCGACTTATTAAGACTATAAACGATTCAGTTTATTAAAGTAACATTAAACATAGACAACTTTGTTTAAAAATAACTCCTAGCAATAAATAAATAGCGTCAATTTCGCTTGTAATAAGAAAAACCTCCTACTTAACTACCAACATAAGACGGAGCGCGCGGCGAAGTGAAATGGGTTCACGGCAAAAAGTGACTAATTGGGTAAAGCTAAATAGATTCAAAATTGTCCATCACTTAACCACAACGATATGCGTACGTTAAACTTAAGCTCTAAAAAAGACTAAAAATTGTTTTCAATCACCATTGTGTATAGTTTATATTAAAAATCTGGTATTTCCCCACCTAAACATAAGACTGTAAAAGAGTTAAAATACTTCAAGATAAATTAACAATTTCCCGCAAGTATGGATACTAAAGATTCTGTGCCTGTAACGTTGATAACTGATATTGTTGGATTGATTAAAATACGGATATCACAAAATTGATATTATGGGAAAATTTTATAAATCGAATAAAAATCGGCCATTCATTGAATAATAAGCCGGCCAACCGCCAGGGACACTTATCGGGTAAACACTGGACGTCCATTATCACAGTTTTTTCAAGAACCATTCACTTTATCTCAGGCCTTTACTTTAGTACGTGGCCTGCATTGCACCATGCAAATGTAGCCTGCGTCAACGTCGCAGCCGCTCACCAGGAGGTTCATGAGGACACTCGAGGACTGGGATGTTGGCTTTGAGTTTGCCGGCGCCGGTGATGGGCTGCGTTTCACACGCTTTGCGACTGGCTCCTCATCCTGCTTCATCACTCTCTTGATACCCGTATCCCATGTTGAAACGCTCCTGTTTGCAATTAGACCTGAAAAAAAGAACTTATTTGTACTCAAAGATATTTAAGCCTTGGACATATATTACATACGATATATTACATACGATAGTTACCATGGTCTGAGTATATATTTGTAATGAGATCCTGTGGTGGCGGACCCGTGGGTGCCGCTGCGAGCAAACGTTGAAGCGCAGGCGCCGATGAAACGACCTGCGGCTCGGTAGGTTGTGGCCTGGCAAGGCTGACGCTATCGGGTAATGCGCCCCACATAACAGCGGATTCCAGGACTGGGAGTTCATCGCTAATCGGTATGAACGGGGAATTTCCATCGTCGATATCATTATCCGATCTGCCGCTGTCGAACGCATCTAGCGTCAATTCTGTTAATAGGGACGACTGTTCGCACGATGATTCAGTCTCCTGCAAATTTATATAATAAAATAGTTTCTATTTGTACTTTGAAAATATATGTACGAACTTAATAACTTAAATTGTGTAATAAGAGAAGAGTGTGGTTTGCAAGATGATTTTGTGACCAGGATTAAGAAAGGAATGCTTCGGTGGTTTGGTCATGTGGAAAGAATGAATGAGGAAAGAGTGACAAAGAAAATTTATGTTGCAGAAGTGAATAGCAGAGTCGGAGAGGGACGTCCTAGGCGAAAATTTATCGACCAAATTGGCGAGTTATTGAAAACGGGCCAAATTAGGAGTACCCTTAACCGACGAGCATGTATGCGTAGGTGTATGGATGTGAAGGAGGCGAGAGAGGTGTGTCAGGATCGTGCCAAATGGAAGTCTGTAGTCTCTTAGTCTCTGCCTACCCCTCTGGGTGACAGGCGTGAGTGTTTATGTTTTTATGTTTTTTTTAATAACTATCAATCTTACTTGAGGATCAGGCGAAGACAATAAAGAATCGGCAGCCAAAGAATCAACTGGCGACCCACTCGCCAGATCATCACCGAGTAAGCTGCAATAGTTGTCGTTCAAAATGAATTCATCGAACATATCAAAAGGACTGTTCTCCAGAGGAATACATGCGTCACCGGCTGTTGGTGCCAAATGGGTAAGGTCTTCCGGCTCGTCCTTAAGCACTGTAAGAGATGAAGAGGATTTTGAACATTGATCTGCACAGCTCTAACAAAGTACAATAAAGCAAGCAACGGATACCTAAGCTGTGGAAGTTCGAGTGCCACTCACTTGTAAGTCCCTCGTCTTGGGAGAACATGAGAAAGCCTTTGTTCATTTCTTTCTTTCGCGGTGCGAAAATAAGTTCCGTAACAGGTATAGGACGCTCCTCTTCTGGGATAATAGCAGCTACTATGGCGCCGTTTCCTGCCTCTGTGGCCGGTTGGCAGATTGGTACGGGTGTAGTCTGTTTTACGGTCGGTGCCACGACAGGTTTCAAGTCTGCATGCTGCAATTGGTGTGCAGCAAACACCTCATCTTTGCACTCGATACCGCTGCGAACAAAAAAAATAACAATCTAACAACTTAACTAGGTCTACCGTTAGTGCACACCTGCATTTATTTCTCATTAACAGGCATTTACGATGTTACTAAAGAGGACAATGGCAACTGCATAGTCACAAGCATACGGCGGTATTAAGTGTTAATTGGATTTGCAAACGTGCGTTACATATACAATATATGAATATAATAGAATGTAGAGTCGTCACCGTACTAGATGTACGTATGTGCAATTGCGAGCAATCAGCCAACAATACTCAAGGACAATGTTTAAACGAGCTCACGCCTAGACTTACACTCAACAAGACCAATAAGGTAGAAGATAACATTAATGTATGCAATTAGGTTGTCCAACTCATTTTGGAATGGGACAAACACGAATCGATGTAGCTAATTTATCAATGACACAGAACACACATAAAAATGTTACTGGTGAATGATTCTAAATTGTATAATTTACGATTATTCCAAAATATCTAATAGTACAACTTACTATTATATAACTCATGCTCATGTATTCTATCCTAAACGATTGAAATGAAACATCTGATTTATATAGTCTTATATAGTCGTTTTGAGTAGGTATCTAGCAATAGAAATAGCAAGTCTATGTAAATAGATCAGTCATAAATAGATCAACCAATCAGTCATTTAAAGATCATAGACCAGTTTTATAAAAAAATAATGTCAATCGAAGATAACCCACGGTGTAGTCTTATGGAAAATATTTACGTCAATGATCTAAAATCAAAATCAATAAAGCCGTTTAGTGCCGAGCGGTTTGATAAGGGATTGTTATTGATGAGCCTCTAGGGTTCAAGTTTATGTTAACCTCATAAATTATAATAAACAATGATAGGAAATTCTCTAATCTAAATACAAAATTGCGAACTGGTCACAGTTTGAAATTTTTACTAAACAAAGGTTGGATACGAATTAACATCGCAAGCAAAGCCTACATAATACACAACAAACCTGAAGTTTCTTTTGAAGACAGTTCTCCAATTAAAACTGCCGGATCTACCGGTCTTTCGTATGTAATACTGACGCAACAAGACAAATCCATCACAAAATACAGATTCAAGCTATATGAAATGCTAGTCGGAGTCTGTTTGGTGGATGCACTTGTGCATTACATTCAAAAGAAGAATCCACCTGACAGGGATGGCGAGTTTGGAGTAATGTAACGCGGAGAGGGATAAGCGAACGAACGTAGTACGGCCTTGCTGGTGACCTTGCACATTTTCATCCCCTAGCGTTTGAGGCGACCATTCACCAGTGAGGAAGGCTGCGCGCGCAACAATAACAACACGGTGGGGTGGGTATCGATTGTCTGAGATTTCAATACGATATGCGCATCAGAAGTTGCTTACGCCGAAAGTTCCCAACAAGCGGCATCTGCATTTAAAACTAATAATCGTAGCGTTATCATACTGTTTATTAATTTATATACTGTTTACTAATATGGTTGTCTTATAGGTACTGTTTATTAATATGGTTGACTTATAATTTTCAATCTACCACGGTAAACATTAAGTAAAATACGTAAACAGCTATATTCCCTAAGCAATTTGTTTTTGACAGTTGATGTCCGGAACTTGTTAGGCTTGTTGTTGAATTTTAAGGCTACTTTAATTTTATAGATGATTACGTTATATATTTATATTTATGATCATTATGGATGAAACAAAGTCTATGTCAGATAATTTTAACAAGTTTATCGTGTTTTTTTTTTATCAAATACTATTATAATAACATTATGCAAGAATAGTGATTTAGAACAATGAATGAAAAACAGTATTAGTGTTTTGATACTAGCAGACTGTAATGGTAATGCTTCACCTTGTGAAGGCTAGACATAGCAGATGTCGGCAGCGACCCTGGCCGTGAAACCGTTTAACATAATTCAACAATTACCTACATCTCAGCACGGTCGAGGGCAAACGACGTCACGTCGTCCCATTGCATAGTCAAGATGTTCTTGGTCGAGCTTAGGTTATCCGCGAACATATGAACAAAATGAATGTACTACGGCTAGGCATTGTCTGTCTGTATAACATTTTATTACAATACAGCAGTACTTCGATCAGTAGCAGCATAACATTTACTGAGTAGTTCATTGAAAGAAATAAATAAATAATTCCATTAGAAGTAATGATATTATGTAATATATCAATACTACTAAGAGATATTATATTAAATGATTTTTAGGTAAAATTTAATGTATTTTTCGGCTTTATTGTACTCCAAATTAACCCAAAATTGCACGACTCAATTTGTGAATGTTATGTACACTTGTTATGGATATTGGATATACATATCAGAGATTATAGAAATGTGTATGTTTTCGTAATTGTCATATATGTGTATTGTAAGTGTACTTGTTAAATAAATAAATAAATTGTATGTTTCACGCAATAATTTTTAAGTGTTCGCTACTGTCTTAGAAGTATAAATAAGCAAGCTAATATAAATACTTAAAGGTACTAAATGAATATGGGCGTAAATGAAACGTACATCAATATTAATTTATACATAGTATGTGTATGACAATTAATGAAATGTGCATCGATTAATTTATAGTTACGTAAGAAATTATAAAGTGTATATAGTTATTCAATAACAAACTAACTGACGATAAGGAGCGATAAGCCAATAAGAGTAAATAAATTATTTATAGCGAACAATTTGTTTGCAGTATATTTACAATTTAATATTTAAGTGATATTTAATTTTTCCAGCCATATAAATTTATCACTTAACTGAATATGATGTAATAATATTATGTGTAAAAATGTGTATAATTTTAAAGTAATGGAATAATAAGCATAAATATAATCGAAAATCAATTCGCGAGTATGAAAAATAATTGCTACTTAATGTCGAGGTAAGTGAGCATTAGAATTTGGTGCGGACAGACTGCAAACAATCGTCTGATAAATATTTACAAACGAATTTCAAGGCAGACTGATAAGATTGCTTACTTCTCGTACATATAGCTATATTTTTTCATCATAACACTAAACATTTTTTTTCCATTATAATCCAATATAATAATAGGGTCGAATTTTTACATCATTTATTACTTTCAATATTTCTTTTTTTTTTTGAAGGTAAATGGCAATCGACAGCCTTTCATCTTCACGATTAATTATGTGCTCTATAAAATAGCAGGGGATCAATGCATTTAGGTGGGCTATGTCGCACTGAGCAGCGGCGCGGGAGTCAAGGCCGACATCTCGAAGTTATATAACCGGCTGTGGACGGCGGGGGACGCATCCGCTAATTTTAGCGGCTCTCGAAAACGAGACAAGCGCACCGTGTACTGAAAACGCATTGCTGGGCGACGCTCCACCGATGCAATACATTTACAATTTACTGCAAAAACCGATCACTCTAAAAGCTGCAGTCGGAAATAATATGTGATTATGGATGATGATAGATTAGATATTAACGGGAGATATTGCTAGTTTAAAACCTACGTCGTCGATGATGAACGTCTGTGAACGTCGGTGAACGAACGTCAGTGACTGTACTAATATTTTCCACAGAACATAATTATTATACTCCCTACGCGAGGTATTTTCACTATATTAGTTAATACGATGCGTCCGACGGGCACAAAATAAAGAGAGGACGGGTAAGTTGACACATTTAAGCAGACACATTCACTATAATGTCACTTCACTGTCACAATCACTGGTTCTTACCATGATGGAGCAACTTCTTACGATGCGTTCGGTATCTTTGACGGATTTGAGTGAACGAGTTTCGATGGCGGCTTTGTGAACAGCTGATTGTAAGCGCGGGTCGAGTCGGTACAGAGCGGATGAAGCGCTGGGTGTACGCCTGCCGTGAAGTCCGTGGAGCGAATGATACGATACGCGACGCTCAGCGGCGGCGCACTCGTGACGCGAGTGACGTGATGCTTTGAGGACTTACTATATTATGGCGCGGCGTAAAATGATAAATTTTCGAGGGTTGCCGGTTGCCGCTCCGTTCATAAGGCGGTCGAGAGGCGAGATAACAGAGTTCGCGATCCACCGGTTGTCAATCGCGATCACGGTCAGGTTAATGAGACATCACTTGCACGCGAGTGATACGCACACTTTTTACGAGCTGCTATTATGATGTGCCAATAGTGTTTATGTAATGATATATGGGCGGTCAATCGAAAGAAAATGATAATATAGTATTCGTAATTTCCACAAAATGTCGGTAGGAGACGTCGGAACTGTAACCGGTGAAGTTATTTTGGCGGGTGAACGTGCAGAAAGGTCAATGAACCGACTGATACAACACAATACGTTTCATATGTTATTTTAAAAAGTGATATTCAAGATACAAAAGTGATTCAGCACGTCATTGCAGTTATCTCGTTCATATAAAAGAAGTTACATAACCTACCTCTAGGTATCATTTATGTCTTTCTACCTAAGTAGCTTTCCGTGCCAAAATTAGCAAAATTGACTCTTACGGAATCACTTTGTTGTTTATCCTCAAGTCACATATTAATTTGTCTAAAACTTTTTGAGTAATAATATAGTTTTTATCGGTAATAAACTATTAAAATATTCTATTTTCACATTTATCAACAAAAATAATCGTTCGGAAATACATACAATTTGCTAATGCATACATTATTTAATCTGTGGTATATATCTAATATCATCATGATTTAATAATTTGGGTGGATTACTCGGAAACGCGTGTTCGTTTATACACCCTAGACGGGTGGATAATCGGAATGCACTTTTTGATTGTTGTTCCGCCTTGTCATGAAGAAAGAATGAACGAGGAAATAGTGGCAATGCAAGTATTGCAGATGTGAACGGCAGAGTCGGGAAGGGGCGCCCTAGACGAAGGTTTGTTGACCAAATTGGCGATATTTTGAAAATGTGCCACATTAGGAGTACCCTTAACCGATGAGCGTGTATGCGTAGATATAAGGATGTAAAGGATGCGAGAGAGGCGTGTCAGGATCGTGCCAAAT